AATCCAAACAATGGATCCAAATCACATAGCCGATTAGGATATGCTAATCTTTGCAACAAAATACAAAGTCCATGTAGCCCTGAAATTAAAAAGATCATTGGAAATATTAACAACTCTATTGAAATATAAGAGCATACGTTTATTCAAATAAATTAGATAGTTTTTTTACTCACCAGAAATATGATGGGTAACTATTTCATTAGGTAGGCCAAGAGCTCTTTCTAAACGATTTATATTGTCTTTGTCAAAACGGAAGTTATTTTTTAATTCAGCAGGAACTAATTCGTTTAAATCAAACCTTCCATAACGTTCTGCTCGATTTCCCACAGCATTCTCTCCTTCATTAGGAATTTCAAATAAAATTGCATCCTCAATATCGTCGTCGTAGCCATCACCAATAATCACAGCTTCCAGAATATTATTCATAATAAATTTTTATGTTGAGTAAATCTACCAAAATTTATTATTAACTTTTGTTTTATTGCATGAAGTTAAAATGTCCAGGTTAAAATAAACTAATGGGGGTTATGTTATGATTGTGACATGACATATGCCATAAGTCAGTCATCATTTTTACGTATTCCCAAAGTTATCGCATGTTGCGATAACTATCTTTTTTTCGTCATACCGTAATACCGTATTGGATGTCAAAATAACGTTACCGTATTTTTCAGAGGAGTGGCGATAACTCTCTATTAATGATATAGGTATACGGTGCTAATGATTATGTGAATATTGGTATGGAAATTTAATTACTCTCTTTGGTGTGTTATACAAAAATGTATGATTTTGGATATTTACGTAAATTTTCAAAGTAATACTATCATTTCTCAAATTTAATCAATGTTATCAGACGCATAGGTAAATGTATCGTTCTCAATTTTAGCGTTGTTCGGTAGAACTAGCTTTTGCTTTTTATTGCTGTAAAACTCTGTACTTTTTGGTGTCTACCTTAGTAACAGGCGTCCCAATTTATTCACAAGTTAATCGTTAAATGGTCTTTGGAATTATGATAATGAGTTGCAATAAAGATATTTTGTATAACTAGGATTCAGGTAGGTCTATAGGAGTATCAGCCTTGGCTGATACTCCGCCTATTCACCATATACTGGAAGTTTTTTTCTTTGTTTTTTTTAATTGTTCCTGTATACTGTTTCATTTTATTTTTGTCCATCCCATTTGTGTTTTTGGAGCATTGGAGCATTTCTCCTTAGGGCAGCTCTCGAGCAGCTGATGAACTCGGTATAGTTTTCGACTCTGAACGAGGTAATTTTTTACCATTTTTGAAGGCTTTATTAACCCTGGTCTAAATCTCAAAATGTTTATCTCTTCCTACACAGTAGATTCTGGTAAATGCTTGCCAAAAAACAACTGCTTTCCCGGCTAATACCACGCTGGATATAATTTTCCACGCAGTTGTTTTAATACTATGAAAAAAAATACGTTTAGAAAAAATTCGCTATTGAAAAATGAATGAAACTAGGATAATCGTCATAAATTTAATAAAAATAATTCACAGTAATTGTAGATTTGTTACTGCCCTCCTGAAGTGGAACTTCACACTGAAAATAACGTGCAGCTTCATCAAAACACCTTCACTCTTTCTCTGATTCTTCTTCTTCTTCTTCTTCTTGTGTATTTACCACTTTCGTAGTTTTACAACGAGATATCATATTTTTTGTCTTTGATTGTCGAATTGGTGGATAACCATCGTTGTTTCTTCTATATGCATTCTTCAAGACAGTCAAGAAAAAAATTTTACAATCGTTCATTGTGAAGGTGTTGTTTTCTAGACGAATAATTTGGAAAAATAGTTCAATTACATTTTCATAAGTTCTCAAAGGTATTTTTTTGACATTTTGTTGTCTCGAGGCACCGGACCATGAACATTTCGTCATGAATTTTCTTGTGAAGAACCAATCTACCAACAAGTAGCAATTATCTATAGCGTTGTTTATTTCTAAACAAATATTCCTCAAACTATCAACATATTTGTCAAATACTACTTTATCTTTCAATATTTCTTCGAGTTTGATTAGTTCTTCAACATCATCAATCGGTTCGAATGGTTCTAATGTCATATTTTCATCTTCTTCAAGAAATCTGTTCAGATTCAAAACCTCATTGAACATTAATTCAAGTTTCTCAATCCTTTTTAACAAAACAACTTGGTTATCCAGAATTCCATCTAGTTTTTGTTCAAGTGTATCGATACCTCCAGCTTCTGATTTACTAATTCCACTCGGCTCATTATCATTTTCATCAGCTGGCATTTTAGACATAATGTATTGTCCTGAAAAAAAAAGTTGAGTAAGTCGTTTTTATAACTGTCCCCAATCCAGGGGCGGATTAAGAACTACATTTTGGGGGAGGGTAATTTTCAGGGGGAATAACTTATACAGACCGTTTTTTTCAGCTGATCCTACTATTGCTGTCTCCTAAGCGATGAGACCTACAAATTCGGTTAAATTGGACAAAAGTTTCATATTTTGGGGAACTAGAGTAATCTCTTTTCTCAAAATGGTTTGGGGCATTTGCAGCCGAGGTTTACACTGTCACCGTATAGAAGTAAACACAAGCACCGTACATAAGTAAACAGAAGTAAATTCACTCCCGTCGGTCTCTTTGATGTTTCGGGTCGAGATTTAGTTCCCAAGATATTTTTGATCCAAATTGTTTCACGCCTTTTGGTCCCAGTTGCTTAGTTGGCTTCTGAACAGTTGAAATCCCAGTCTCGTCAACATTGAAGATTCTGCTTGGACCAAATTTTAATTATTCTAACAAATATCCCAAATTAGAAAAAAGTTTAAACGGATTCTTCATTGAAAGCAGTAATTCTATTGATACTTATTCCTTCAGGTTTTCTTAGGCTAATTTGGGGGTTTCTCTTAAGAAATAATCACACCCAATCCTTGCCTGCTTCTTAGCGAGTTTTATTAAAATCGTGTCATATGCCATTAGATTCTGCATATTGAAACGCGAGTTTTCGTAACTCTACTGGAGTCAATCTATAAAACAATTTAGCCAGTTTAAGAACGTGACTTGCCATTTGAGTTTCAACCCCAACTGAGAAGATAGAGGGTCTTCCTAGTCTTGGACCAGATCTGTTGTTGTTCTTTCTGCGCGCCTCGTGAATGTTGAATGATCTGGAAACCGCTCGAATTTTTCTACCAGAATCTATTGCCTCAAGAACTTTTTCTGTAAGGTCTCCTCGGTCCAACCAGCGATATTTGTTTTTCTCACATACTTGTTAGACATCTGAAATAACAATTTGGGCAGCTGAATCACATGTACTGATGGTTTCGGTATTATGCGGGTAATGGTAGGGTAAAAGAGGGTAATGGGGGTCACTTAAGCGAGAACTCGAATAAAAGTGTAATCATAAATAAACTATTTATTGAAACCTCCTTTAAACATCATATACTTAATTAACTATCATTAGAAATAATTTTCAGCCACTCTGGCAATCAACTTTGTATATTATAAAAGTAATAAAAAAAAACAGTTTTGACTCCTATTACACCAACATGAAGGTAATGGTGGTCACCCTGGGGGCAATCGGAGTCAAAGAAAACCTAGCACATATTGTAATAAATGACCGTCGGGTCTGAATTGGCGATCCCTATATGAGTACTACTAATGCATATATAATAATCATTTCAGTTTACTCGCACCAGAAAAATTCACCCCCCATGTATATGGGATCGTTCAGCCAAAGATATTTATTTTCTTAATTTAGTTTGGTAGCGTGAGAGTTGCTGCCACCAGATTAGAAAAAGTTTGAAATCCGTCCTGATCACACGGATTGAGAATTAGTAGGCAACTTGGTCAACAGCTGAATTTTTCCTACCTTCTGAACTTCGTGGAGAAATGACTTGGTTATGCCACCAATTATATCCTCAGAGACTGGATTCGGCCACGGCTTAAATGCGTGGTCTTTTAGGGGTTTGAGGGAATGAAATAATATTAGCAGAGTTTTCACAAACCAACTTTATTGATGAGTAAAGTTGGCAGAATAATCGGATTAACAATAGAAAA